GTTACTTTTCAGTAGAAATGTCTGTTTTCGGTGTTTCACCGAGGTTGCGTGACTCTGTAAAGCTTTCCATCCTCTCGATCCGAATAGAATGACATCGTCACACACAGTACACAGAGCTTTAACGGCGACTTCGAGCTTTTTCACGAAATCCGACACAAGCACAATGGTTCCTCTTTACTGTTTCCTACTGGGGACACCGTCAGCTCTCTATCCAACCAGTCCCATCGAAATGTGTTTTTTAGATCCGCATCTATCTGACGCACTTTAGCTTCGCCGCGAGTCTCGATAACATTCGGCATTCGCGAGAAAGGGGTTTCGGAAGGCGAACACGGATTGGTTGTGATTTGCATTTTCCGATAGAGCGACCAATCACAACAAGTAAGACATTGGTTTTAGCCCATATCGGAAGTAACGACAAACTAACGCTTCGCGATAAAAAACGGGATTCAAAATGGATGCTTGCAAACGTTACTTGTAAACATTACGAGCCCGAATCTGCCGAAGACAAGTCCGGACCCCCCCACAGAATTTTTTTACGGATTTGGAACAATATAAATTAGGTCCATTTTGACTGGAAAAAAAGCGGAATTCCTCCAAAACACGGAAAAATCTCATCCCTGCTTAATGCCTATTGGTCGTGAAAATACGTTACTTGCAAATTTGTTTTACACAGTTGTATTCGTTATTTTATTATTTAATACTTTAAAATGTGGGTTTTTTTTTTTTGGTCGAAATTTGTCATTTCTAACAAAAAAACTTTCACCAAGTTTGAGTTTTTCCTGGAAACCTTCTGTTATGAGCCATGATTTTGAATGGTGATTAAAAGAAGCAGTAGCTCTACAACTGCACATAGTGAACATGATGGCAATAAAGCAGCGCGACTCACGTGTACTGACGGAGGACTCGCACTGCAACGAGAGCGTCTGCAGGCTCTCCTCATTGGTCTCCAGGCTGAGGTTGGCCAGATACTGCTTGACCTTGCGTGCCATCTGGGCATCCTCGTACAGCTTCTTGGCATTGAGGAAGGAGCTGCGGCGCACGCGCTTCTTGTGGCCGCCCGTCTGGTTCACGTCCAGCACGGCCGCATTGGCACTGCCTTGACTGAGGGAGCTAGACACAAGGCACAAACACAAAGAGAGAAAGTAGCCACAATGGATATTAATAATACAGTGCAATCTTGACTTGAGCCTCGTGTTGCAAAACATGCAAGAAAGCAGGATGAGACGTTCCTAAAGGAATTCCAAAATATTACATGCAGAAGAAAGCAGCTGTGAGTTTAGTCCTCCTCTTCATAGTTTACATTTTTGTGGTTCGTGTATGTGGATTCTCTCATCGTGTAAGTACAACCCACATTCCAAAAGATTGCAAGCCGATTTTTAACAAGTAATGAGATATGGATCTATGGAGATTAAATAACCTAATTAGAAAACATTCCTCATTACAACAACTCGCGTTTCCTCCTCCAGGCTAGCCCATTAAATGTTGAGTATGTACACCACAAAACTGTCAACAGTGATGAAAGGAAAGATCATGACCAAAAAAAAAAAAAAAAAAAAAGCCTTATTGATTCTTAAAAAATGAAAACATTGAAATAAAAGAGGAAATATTTAGAAAGTACTTGCTGCCATTCACTTCAAAATACGTTTCGACAAAATGTGCTTTTTAAAATAAAATTTTAAAAAACTTTTTTACAGATACAAAACAAAAAAAAGTATGAACATGAGAAATAAAAAAAACATGCCGTATTTTTGTTGGACAGCGCCAATGTGCATGCACAAGATGCCTGAGTCGCTAGCATAATAATAATAGTGATAATACTAGGGAAATACAACTTAATAAAATATTACATTATTTGAAAAATTGAATAATAATATTGAGCATTAACATTTTGTTCGGCAACCTCGACACTCCCATCCCAGTCAAGGGTATGGCCAGTAAAATGACCTGTTAGTTGTCAAGAAGCAGTACAGTGAACCCCAGCTTCTCATGAGATTACCAAGCCTTACCATGAATATTGAAGATACGTTAATAAGAGACACTCCCCAAAACGGGTTTGTAATTGGGCATAGATGCCACAAGATGATGGAAGAGCTCTTACAATGGAGACGCATCAACATCATGCATGAACACAATCAGGAACCCATGTTGCATTAACAACTAAAATTCAACGCAAACAAACCGCTTTAACATGAGGTTCATTTGGCACACTAGCCTAGACAACATGCATGCGAACTGATGAAACGTCTCACATAGGTAAACAAATATGTTCACGAGCACTTTATACAAACTATTAAGTCCTTAACCCAAGACTACACCGGAAAATGCCAAAGTAATACTTTTACATAATCAATGTATAGGTTAGTTTTTCGGCAAATAATAGGCCAGCCTCCAAAATAAAAAGGTGTTAATATGCAAATTTGTGAATGCCCAACTGTGAATAAGAGGGGGTTCATGGTGTGTATTATTACTAAAGCCATTCAAGTAATCCCGTTCAGGGGAAAGCCAGCAAAGAAATGTGGAAGCACATGTAAAACTTACCCTAAACTTCTCCACTTCTTCTTCCTAGAGGCCATGAACAGACAAGCGTGGGTGCAGAGGGTGGATGAGCGAGAAGAAGAAGACAAAACAAAGCTTTTAAGGACAGGAAAGAGCACCAGAGACCACCAAAGAAAATCAAACGCTACCGCGTGGAAAAATAAAGAGCCACAGAAGAGGAGCTTAAACACCACTTGATGGAGACACCGTGAGACCGGTTTAGACAACAGCAGAAGGCTTAGCTAAGCCTCTCACAGAGCTGTAACACATTTTAGAATGTGGGTCTTTTTTTTGTGCTCTAGAGGCTTCTGTACCTTGTCCTGAACATGAGGTTGGGGTCCATGTTGACCGAGGCCATGCGGCCCACATGGCGGATCTCTTTGGCGATCATTCGCAGCTTCTCGAAGTTCACCAGGCCGTCAACTTTCGAGTCGTTACCTGGCGCCAACATATGACATATTATTCTCACAAATAAACAAAACAATGCTACAATCATTCCCAAAGTTATATTAATATGTCTTTTCAGACAGCACGTGTGTGTGTGTGTGTGTGTGTGTGTGTGTGTGTGTGTGTGTGTGTGTGTGTGTGTGTGTGTGCGCGCAATATTTATTTTCTCTTAACATGCATTAAAGTCCCTCTCTGAACAAACAATCCATGATAAACATGAACAAAAACATCATTTCTATGTCTTATTTTTGGTCCAAATTTTGTGCACTTTTAAAAACAAAAAATAAAAACTTTTAAGAACACACCTCCATTTTTGTTCTTTTCTATCCGAACAACTGTTGTTTGATAAAAATCTTTTTTTTTTTAAATACATTTTGGGATAGCAATGTTTTTTGTCCCCAAAAAAAACTGCTGCTAGTTTCATCGTACAAATTGACATCTGTAGATACTCCTTTACGGGAACCACATATGTTAAAAATACACAAAATGAGGATACGTGATATTAAAAACACAACATTTAAAAAATAACATACATACTGTCACAATAACAAACAAAATTAATATGATAAAAATGTGTTGCTCGCTTTCATTGGACAAAATTACATTCCAGTTCACACCTGTCAAACTAAACAAGCCATGCGACTAAAACGAATGCTCCCTGAGGACATGACCAAGTAAAAATATGGCAAAATTCTATTAAACAATAACTAAAAACAATTTCCCATGACGTACCTTCATGGAGGAAGGTGAGGTCCTTCTTGATGACGGGGAAGAGCGGGATGATTGGCGGTTGCAGGTTCTGGCTGTTGAGGACGTTTCGGTACTTGGCCATGTTCCTGGAGGGGTCGAACAAGTCCTGCAGGTCGCCAAAGAGTTTCTCATACTTGCTGGGCAGCTTCTCCCAAGTTCCTCGAAGGCGAGAGACAGGAGCCAAGTTCAAACCGCTGGGCGGGAATACACACAAAAAGAAAATGAATTAAAAATAAATATATAAAATAGATGTATTAAAGGGTGCGGGGAGAATAATGGCACTTGAATAACTAAGTCAAATAGACTAACAAACCATAAACAATCTGTATAACTACCAGAGTTGTGTCCAAGGACCGGCACCCCGAGGCCAAGGCCAAGGCCAAGGACTTGCCTCCGAGGCCAAGGCCAAGGCCAAGGACTTGGAAAATTTTCCGAGGCAAGGCCAAGGCCAAGGACTTGAGAAATTTTCCGAGGCCAAGGCCAAGGACCAAGGACTTGCTTCCGAGGCCAAGGCCAAGGACCAAGGACTGATTTTGAAACTGAGGCCTAGCCAAGGACATGTATAAAACAATGCCATCATACCACTTGGCAGGTCCTCATGATT